TATGGAATTAAGCTTTAAAAATAAACTTTTAAACCTGAAAACACTCTTTGCTAGTTGGGACAAATTTAGGGGTACACTCACCAAAAGTTCAGAACCATTTTGAGGCACAAAGCTTTTCAATAGTGAAAAAGAAAAAAGAAAAACCCACAAGGAAACAAACAAATAAAAAGGTCATTATGTGCCCGTAGTACTACCATGAAGCACTATATTATAGAGCTGACATTACCATGTGCCCTGGTAAACAGGTTAGAACAGTGATGAAGATATCCCAGGCAAATAAAGGGAACCTGTTTAACTGTCCTGCAGTTTAAAACTTCAAATACATCTAATTTGGGAATAATGATATTTAAGATAGAAGGTAGAAGAAAAGATGAGCAGTTTTGTTCTGTCTAAGGTAACCTACATTTTTAAAATGTACAGTCATAAGGTGTCTGGCTCTGAGTTCTGTATTCAGACTGACAAAAAAAGTTGGAAGTATCTGTATCAGAATTTGACATTTAGTATATTGTCATTTCAAATAAAGACTGAAAATTACATTCTTCTGAAGTCTACTAACAACACATGCCACCAAGATCCACTGTTACGTTAAAGTGATGATTTGATATGAACCGTTTTCTTGAGATGGGACTTTAGCTTCTGTTGTTGTTCTGGGTTTTGGTGGCCATTCTGGATCAACCAGCAGTTCCTGAGCTAGATGCATATACTTGGCTTTTGGTGTCTTCGCTCTACAACCAAACAGTGAAGAAAGGAAACAAACTCCCCGGTGATCCACAGCCTCCTGCAGAAGTAAAAAATAAATAAATAAAAAAAATTGAATTACCGAAAGCAGCATTTTTAAATATACATCATACAGTGAACCTCTAGAACAAAGTCTAATATTTTAGTTTCTATTTTTTTTTTTCTTTGTCACTGTCATGCTGGATTTAGAAAAAGTCTAATATTTTAGTTTCTATTTTTCTGTGTCACTGTCATGCTGGATTTAGAGAAACACCTGCGCTTTCTGAAAGGTGATCTCTATACTACAGTGGCAATAATATTAAAAAAATAGGAAACACATTATTCGGCATTACAGTAATATAAAAGACCAAATTTAATGCATGTTTCAACAGCTTTGCTATGTCAACATTAAGTGTTGCTGCTATTGAAGAGTAACAGCTTGTTCTAGAAAAAGCAGTGAAGCTTCCACCATCCCAGAGATTCTCAGCAACTGAATGAAACTTTTTGCAATAAATTTTTTAGCTGAAAGCATCCAACCAACCACAAGTGTCAATTTAACCATCCCGAGAGACTTAACTGCATTCCCTGACAGGAAATAAGTCCTATATACAGGCAGATACAAAGGACTGAACTAAAGCCTGCTGTTTCTCTTCAGAGACCTAATTACAGGCAACCTAACTAGCTGGAAAAGAGAATGCCAGCCCCTAGTCTCAAAGTATGGGATTCCTCTCATTTCTGAGAAAGCACCTGTGCTTTGTATGGATGACATTCTGATGGATACATAAACATGCTTATTCATGCTCTGAATTTCTCTATACAGGGAAACAGAACCCAACATGGGCCTTAACTACAAGTTCCACTCCACAGCCATTACAAAGCAATTTGTTCTTGAATATCCTCAAAAGGATGAATGTAACTGCAGAGAATATATATCTAATAAAATTTTCTACCAAAAAATAAAGCATTGCAATTCTTAGAAAAGATTATACAAGCACCTAGAAGTAATAAGGCAAGAGACTTAAACCCTACTTTCCATGGGCTTCGCATAGGTTTCCTTTATCTATTATTTACCAAACCAGAGAAACAGACCAGACAGACTCATAGTCACCTGAAGAGAAGCTGCTAAAATTCACATAACTACTGCAATTAGTAACAATGTATCTTCAGTTGCCATTTCCTTCCCTTTGTATGTGCTACAAAATACTGTTCTCAAACAATGCTCTAAAATCCAAAATTGAGTTCATTTGATCAAGGACTGGATTAGACCCAGAGTCTGCAATTCTGCTTCCAAGTAAATCAACACATTCCTGGTTCTATTAAACAAATGTTCTGCTATAATGCTAATTAAAGTTGCTAACTCTAGATTAGGTGAAAAAAGTCTCAAATGCTGGGTTTGCTTCTCAGGTCTCGTATATAGAGCTAAGTTCTTTAACATACAGGTGTCAACAAGGGAATACAAAACCAAGAGCCATTACTTTTAATATTCAAATTACAGAAATCTAGTTTAAACAGTTTTAAGACAAAGACACTTTTAGATAGTAAAAACACACAAAACTGAATTAATTTGCATGCACTCAAATGATGACAGCAAAATACTAGTCTCCAACCTGGGGCGGCTGGGGTATGGTGAGGCGATATTCTCCTTGTTTGTCTCGACTGAACACAACCTTCCAAAGGATCATATCAAGGAGGACATTCTGTGAGACATTGCAGTGAGTGGGAAGAATTAAAGAAACTAATGATCATTTGTTGTTAGTGTGCACATTACGAATAAAAGTTGAAATAGTGTGTTAGGCATAACTAATTCAGTGCCAGGCAAAACAGAGAGCTTACATTATCTGTCAGTACTTAAGTGATAAATATTTTCACTTCTTAAGTGCTCACATGAGATTAAAGAATATGAACATGTACTTTAAAATCAACTGCAAAATGACTAAAACTGCATCCATCATTACAGATAAAAATTATATATAATTATAAATTATTAAGCTTTAAAAAGCTTAAGCAATGCATACATTCATGCTTCAAGCAACATTTTCTGGACCCATTTTTAACATAGCTGTGTTCTTCATACTGCATTTATTATTTTAAATCAGTGACAGTCACACAAAAGCTTGTATGGTGGGCAAATTGGGCCACCAAATGGAATTCTGAGAGCCTCAGGTGCTGTTCCTGATTTTGGAGAAAAAATACAGATGTTGTGCACTATATAGCTGTTATGCACTATGTCTGTATATTTGATTGTTCCTATCAGGTTGTGCAGGGGAACTACAGAGCCTCACGCAAGTTGGGCAAAACAGATGTGAACCTGCACTCCCAAAGCCTTAAGCCTACACAGGGCGCTCATCTTTGAGAGAATCCAGTGGTTAACACCAACTAATCCTCCCACCACTGAAAATGGGGAGTGGGGAGCTGATCAACCAGGCTTTGTACGTAAAGCATTTGCCAAACAAGCCCTGAGATTCTTAAAAGCCCTTTTTGAAGCTGGTCTGTTTCCTTCTAGTTTGAGTCTGTATCTATGTCAGGCATTGCATAAAAGGAGAAACAACTGCTAAGATCTCCCTTTACTGTGTTATATTATCTACTATCTAGAAGAAAGAACACTAAACTTCCAGCCTAGTCTCATACCTCCACAGCAGGAGCAAAAGCTTTACTGCATTTCGGAAAACATATTTTGGACAAAATCTTTGAGAATTCATTCTTGTTGTGGAAACAATTGAGAAGTTAGACGGCAGTGGTGACAAAAGTATCAAACTGATAAGTGCGACAAGTTGAGAACAATCCAATTTCTCTGCTTATCACATCATAATGAAGCTCTTAAAGAGCCTCTAAGAATTTCTCATAGAGCAAAAACTATGGATTATATACCTAGATACTACTGTTGAAAGAATAAGATGCCACCAGTAGCTTTTCCTGCACGCTAAGAATGTGAAGTGTTGTACTTAGTAACTCTGCAGTGAAAAGTCCAATAAGGACTATGTAAGTACCAACCAGGTACACAAGGACTTAAGGGTGATGGTTATTGAAAACCTTCACTGGAAGCGAATGAATGAAATGAGCTTGTGATTCCTCCACCATTGGCACTGTGTGAAAAAGCTTCAGGGATCCTTGAACAATATGACTGGAATTGGACAAATACTCTTCAAAGCACAGGACGAAAGAAGGTCAAAATGCAAGGTGAAAATGTATATTGTAAAACAGGGTTTGGGATATAAGGCAAGGCTCCTATTGGAAACTTGTTGTACAGTAGGACAAGTTATCTCTGTCTAAACAAAGCATATCACTCATGGAAAGCAGAAGAATTAGTTTCAAGCCCAAAGCAGTAAGACCCAACCTATACCCATCAAGGAAGCTGAAATACTTCCTATTCCACTACTAAAGTGCAGGCAATAAAGCAAAGAGAAAAGTCTGCCTAGGAGGAGCACGATGAGCCACCCCACCAGTTCTGGTAATGAAGAGCGACTGGAGTCTTGAAAGGTACTAGGGTTAAAGGCACCTCTGTATAGGAAGAAGGGATGTGGGACTGAAACGCTGGCTGAAGGCAAGGGCTTTGAGGTAAGTGTTACCAAGGACACATTTACCGAAAGCTCAGAATTTTAGAGATTTATGTAGCAAGCAGGGCCCACAAGTAGAACCTTAAAAATATCAAATTTAAGGCAGAATTTTGTCCTCAGGACATGTGCTGATGCACTGACTGCCACACTGTGCTTGCAGAAACTTTCACAATTCTAGGACTGAGACACTACCCAAGTGTCTAAAAGCTAGAAAGATCCCTATCTGAAGCATCAAAAATAATTTTTCCAACAGAAGGTTTAAAACTTAGATTTCTGAGTTTCTGTGATGTGAGAATTGTAACCATCACCTTCCCATGTTCAGTATATCTACCCAAAGGTTAACTCCCAATAATAATTTCTTAGCGCCTCAGCAAAATAGTCTGGAAATTGTAATAAAAACATCAAAAATGACTGAAAAAGCAAGCAGGAAAAATATTTTAATGTAGGAGTTTGGTTTAATTTTTCTTTTTATTAAAGCAAATCATTCTGCAGCCTCAGAACCATCATTCTGGACAGGGCTAAAAAAAGCAATATATATAAAATTTAAATTTTAACAAATAAAAAGGTAGAAAATAAGAATTTAATTTTCATGTTTTTTCAACTAATCAAGACAAAAGCAGAAGCACCATGACAAACAGGGTTAAAATAAATAGAGAATAACCTTAGCAAGGCACAGGATCTTTATGAGGAGATAAATTTGTTAACAAGGCAAAGGTCCAGGAATTTAATTATCTGTGTTTCTGAAAGAAAACACAGATTTTCTCATGTGAAAATGCTGAAAAATATGGAGGAATATAATAGAATGTCTTTTCAAATTAATATAGAGCAGTGTTTGGAATTCAAAGGCCAGAATGGTGTGATGCAAACAAGCAGTATCCTGGTTAACTTGATACAAATCCCTTACATAGTAATGGAAATTCTACCTGAAAGTTGCAGAAAATGTTGTACAATGAAAAGGATCGTACTGCATGAGCAGTGCTTAAAAGCTTTTTCCTTTTGCAGGAAAGAAAAATGGCAGCTAATTACTACAGTCAAAATCCAGCATATTTAGGTTGCAAGTGAGTCATCATTTTACCAGGGAAAAGAACTAACCACAGGAATAAGTGACTGCCTTTGAATCCTCACTCTTCCTAGAAAATGCATTTCTGTTCTTTAAATTAGCAGGGGAATCTGGATGAAAGGTAGAGTGTTTTTCTGCCCACACTAACCCTGGAATCACAGCAGAGGTTCTCAATATCCAAACATGTGGACAAGCTAAGGGCTAGAAAAAGCAGATCTGTGAAAACCTACTTCTGGACTTGAGTGAACTGTTTGAATCAGATTAGATGAGCAAATTATACAGACCTGCAGTATGCTGAACAATAAGATGTATATGTGATTCAACAGAATATGAGCTCTGCTAAGGTTTAGATATAAATGTTCTGCAAGATTCAGCTCCTAGCATGGTATGTTATTCTGATCTATTACAGCAGATAAATTTCAACAACTTTGAAAGGTTTAAATGCAGAGAGTATTCTACTTTCCACTCTCTCTTTTGAATAAATAAAAAAAATGTTTAAAAGTTACACTTTTATCACCAAAAGCCTTGACACCTTAGATCTAGCCTGGAAGTACATCTGTAGAAGTAAAATCTTAAAAATAAAACACTGCTCCATTTCCACAGATGTGTTCTTAACAGAAATCATCTAAACACAAGATAAACCTGTACCTTAAAAAACACTAAACAGGCAAGTATTTTTGCCATTTGATTTTCTTACCTCCACCAACACGGATACAATTGCATTGACAATAACAAGGATGAGAATTCTTTGACGCCACTCATTTGGCACACACACCAGCTGTGAGAAAAAGTTACAAGAGGTTAACACCACACACACACCCTAAGTGACACAAACATTCAAAATACACCAGCAGTTATAAGCTCACACACACACATTATAAATACACAAGTCCATAAGCATAGAAGCCTATATGCAATAGAGCTTATTAACACTTATTGCAGACCACATTAGGTAATATTCTCTCTCAGTCAAAGCATCTTCCTGATAAAGTTTAAGGGCTTTAATCATTGATCCAGCTGTAAGTTTGGTGCAAAGATTTTGGTAACAAAAGGTGAACATAGCTCTAAAGGGTCAAGTATGCCCAAAAAATCTAACCAGTTATCCAAGAAAGTACAGAAATCTGTGCACATCTATCGAATCTTACCTCAAGAACTGTTTCAATAGATTCAACTGGGTGCAACATGATGAAAAGTATGAAGACATAAAGAACTAGCACAGATATAACAAACAGAACTGTAAAAAAAAAAAAAAAAAAAGAAAAAAAAATCATTAGACCACCCCCCAAAGCATTTAGATTGATTTAAGTTTTGCCTATATCAATTCATTATTCCATGGAAATATCTTTTTTCCCCCTCTCTAAACCCCATCCAGGCAGATTTTTGATAATACAAGTTGTGCCACATAGCCAGTGGCAATACAAAGAGAAAAAGCCAGATTTTCACTGGCTGCCCTGCACAAGCGAAGTCCTAAAATAACAACCTGGCCCCAGCCATGGCATCCAGTGCACATGCTGGGGCAGGAGAGCCAGCGCGCTGGACTTGAGAAAAGGGTTGAGAAGCAGCTACTTGCAGAAGCTTAAGAGGAAAAAGGTTAAAACCACCTAAACACAGTGTTTTAGAAATAAATTCACAGCAAACAGCTGAGCAGCTGTACCATTCTTCTCCCAAAGCCCTTTGCCTCTCTCTCTTGCTAGGAATATGGCAGCCTTATAATATCTATATTTATGCAATAAAAACCAAAACCATTCACTGAAACAGTGAACAGTAAGCAGTAAGTCTGTTTAGTAGGGCACAACTAGGCACGCCACATTCCACTGAGCAGTTACAGTTCCTGATGAGTAACATTACTGAGTTTATGCCAAGTGAGGACTTCGGAACTCTGAAGAGGACTCAAACAATTAACTATTACAATAAACAATGTTTTCTAATATAGTTTAATATTAGCAAATAAATACAACAAACGTACATGCTTGCTGATTTAAGATTATCATAAAGACAGAGTTAATTAACAGCATATTTCACATTTTACTTTTAAGAAATATATATATTCTTGTCTTCTACAAAGACATTATTAGCACAAATTTCCCCACTCACATTATTTAATATTTCCTTATTTCTGTTATTATCAGAGGATAGCCACCCCATATTCCCATAGTAATGCTACTCCTGATGAAGGACTGTAACAGGATTGCAAGCAAACCATGGATAAGAATGTGGATAAGTGATTCGGCGTTTTACTTGGAACCATACTTAGAAATAAAAGAACTCACAATTTTTGTAGCATGGTTGTCTAAACGGCTTTCCTTTAGAAAAGACAATTGCCACTATGAGGTACTGGAAGCAGGAGATAAAAAACAAAGTCGTGTTTTCATAGTTTTTAATGTTATGTTCATCATGAAGAGTCTCGTTCTCATAGCGGCCAGAACCGGTGTTTGTGGCTTGCAATACGTGACACGCACTGCAATTTAAAAAACAAAACAAAGTAAAAAAAATGAAATGTAAAACTCAGTTAAGGAGAAATGCAAATAAGGCTAAAATCTATTGCTAAAAAACTAATGCCCCTAAATTGTAACAGTAGTTAAAATAAGCACATCCTTGAAAATTTAATACAGGTAACAACTTAAAACAGGAAAAAGGAAAAGAAGTTTGTGAATTCTGAGCTTCAAGTTCTCGTGTATGTCCAGCCTGCAAGTTCCCTGACAGTTTAGGAACTATCATTATATACACTCTTTGATGACAAGGCGAGAAAATATTGCACACTAAGAAAGAATACAAACAGCTCTTTTTCAGAGATTTGAATTTGATTTAAGAACTACAGCGGGACTACATGACTTTTTATTTTAAGAGTTAAAATAGGTCTGAACAATGAGTTTCAGATTTTCATCTCAATTTTCTCAAAGAGGAAAAGTGTTTGGATCTTGTAGATCAGTTCGGAGTCAGTTTTTCATTTTGGTCATTAAGTTACTCCTACATATCAATATGCTTTTAACAAAATATTGTCCCATAATTAGTCATTATCAATTTTTTTTTTTTTTTTTTTTTTTTTTTAATCTCTGCTCCTCTCGGAAGCCATATTTGTGAAAGCTCTCCTGCTTGATTATATCCATATTTATGGACACTATCTATTGTTCCTTCTGCCTAATCATAATTTCTATTTATATTGTACATTTTCCCCAGGCTCTTCTTTCCTCAAATCAAGCATTAGACTGTACTGTGGTTTCCACACAAGCCACCAGCACTCCACGTTCCTACCTGACTTAATAGTACTTCCTTTCCCATTACATTTTTTTCATGCATATTGCAAAAGCAGTAGCCATTTATCTATTGATCCCTGCCCAGACACTCCAGGCAGCAGAAAGAAAATCACTAGGTTCTCTGAAAGAGCCTGGGAGTCAGAGTTCAGATTCATCAGACAAGAGTCTCTTCCAGGAACGCTGCCAAAAATTTAACTCCTCTAATGACTATTGTCTAGTTTAGCAAATTAACAAGCTGCCATACAGAAGCTTCAGTTCCCGAAAGGAGTGGATAAAGAAACAAACAATTACTGACCATTCCCTTTCAGTCATTAGCATATCCAGTACAGAGCCACTGAAATACTTACTCAGATTCCGTTTTCCACTCTTCATACCAGGACTGTTGCTTGACCCAAAAAAACCCGAGGATTTGGAAAGCAAAGCAGATGATGATCTGAGACAAAACGGAACACAAAAGTGGACCTGAGATAAGACCTGATGGAGGCCTTCGCGCAACAAGTTCATTCCAAGCGGGGTTCAAACTCACTGCAAAGAGAAAGAAAAATAAGTTGCACCGTGAATCATTATGCTCTCAAAAATTACCCTCTTCACATTCTAGAGTTAGCATGGTCTGTTCATGACCTCTCCAGCCTTACACTTCGCAAATTTGCCAGTAGGGTTCAGAACCATCACTGCAAAACCATCTGAAAAAGACTCTACCTCACCAAATCGCCACAGTGCCTCCTATATGTCTGGCAGTACAAGATGAAAGAGCTCAGCAACCAGAAGACTAAACGAACAAGTAGTGCGTTTCACCAAATTCCAGATGGGGCTGTCTTGAGACTAAGCTGAACTTCCCTTTTTTTTCTGGCATGAGTATAGATCCACTCATCAGTTTTTTCTCCCATGGCTTTGATGAACTGATTTCTTAAATCTTGGAAAATAGAATTCTACTGTTAACTTGATCACTACTTTCATACGTAGAATAATTCACTAGATAGCAGGTTGTAAATAAATGTAATCTCTTGTGGACATAAGTCCCACTAAAAACACAAGAAATGTAGGAAGCTTTAGTAGTAAGATGTTGGAACAAGTAAGGTTTTGATTACAACAGTGGCTTCCTCATTTCAGGACGTTAAATTTTTTGCCTCCCATTTTGTGAAGGATTGCATGTATAAGATCATACCAGTGACTTTTTTTTTTTTTAATGAAGATTACAGTACAGAGTTGTTGTTTAATTTATATACCACAATAACTGTAACAACTGTATGTCACAGAGCTCATTCCAAGCAACAGCACGTAATAAGATGTTAAATAAAATGTGACCACGTAAGAACTGCTTCACTGTTCATAGCTGTATGAGAGGTAACAGTACAGAAGCCAGTAGTGATAATTCTGCACAATACTTACTAGTGAAGACAACCACCAAAATGATTGCCAAATCAATGAAGAGAAACTGGAAGTCTCCCAGATTGCTCAGGATCTAGACAGAAATCACAAATGAAACATTGGTAATTGCTTCACACTGAGAAGCATTCTACAACAACAATGCCACCATATTAATTCAAGCTTTACTTTATAAAGAAGGGGGACAGTATGCAAGAGTGCCTTGAATCTGCTAGAGTCTCCACTACTCTATAGTTCAGACACCAAATCTTGAAACAGAAAAGTACAGAACACTGTTTCAGGTTCCAACACATGACCTGTTAATTGGAAGTTGCTTTTAATCAAAACGTTTATTAGGGAACCTTACAAATCCATTAAATAAAAGCTTAAGTCCATACCTCTCCAAACATCACAGCCCTACTAAATGGTCATACTGTTGTTAGAATTTCCATCTCTAAGTTCCTTGAGTAAGTTGTGTTTTGGGTAAGTTTCACATGCAAACTGACATATAGAATTTCTACCACATGTCACTATAGGGAGTCCAATCGCTAACAGAAAATACTCCACTAAATTTCCACCCCCCACCTCCATCTCAATCCTTGTGGGTGCTCCATTTCAACCTTTAAATAAACAGAATGTACTGCCTTTAAATTAAGTTAGGATGTTTTAATTGCTCACAGTCTTTAAATATTGGAAAACCGTATTTTGATTCTGTTTTAATACTTATCTGGAGTTACCTAAAATGACTCTACAAACTACAAGGACTAATTTTTTAAACGGATGCTACCATGATTTTCATGCAGTTAATGTAAAAAAATACCCCCTAAAGAACTATAATTAGTACTACCTTTAATCCAAAGTATGTTATTTATCTGTGGTCAGACTTGAAAAGTTTAGTGTAAATATTTACTGTCTTCTACATCTTTGAAATATATTGGTATTGCTTAAGCACAACATTTAAATACTTACAGAATACAGCAGAGTAACACTGATGTACTGGATAATGCTGTATAATGCCATGAATTTAAACACACAGAAGGAAGTTATTAAAGCAGCACGGCCTTCCCTGTCAAAACAAACACACACGCGTAACTAGAAGGCTTTCTGTGTAGGTAGTTATACTCTGCTTAGCAAAATGTTAGCTAAGATTAAAAATAATAAAACCTTGAGATATGTTATGCCGAAGATAAGAGCAGACACACATGAATAAATATTACAAGAATGGGGACACTTGGAAGCATATCAAAGCTGATAGCATGAAGAAGGATTTTAAATGTGCTTCTGCTAGAAAAGAAGCATCTGTCCCACAGTTTGCTACACAGAGTAAATGAGCATGCAGTCAGTCAGTTGCTGCCTTCAGAGATGTTTCTGATTATCCATTACTTCCATTAGTTCAATAAAAATGCAACTAGATTAGTCTCTGGCTGACCTTCACGCAAAATGTATCTATCTTTGCATTCTAGAATCAAGGATATGTCGAAACCTATTCGTGAAATTCAGTTTCTACCTATGACAGTACTGAGGACTGAAGTTATTCGAATAGCTTTATTCCTTATAATTACACATGAACTTTACAGAAAATAAAATAATTCACAAGACACTAAATTAAGCATTAACATTTAGAAGTTGTTACGCAAGAAAAAAAGTGCAGTTTAAATGGGCAAAAGGTAAATAAAACAAAGTGCTGAACTCTGCCGTGACAAGTCCTTCTTCAGAGTACCCTCAAGAAAGGAGTAGAAACTACTAGAAATTTAGGGCTTGTGCTTCAATTCAAATGGGCTTCCTGTAATGTCAAACATGCACTGGGACAGAGTATGTAGAACAAGTTGAATGGATATATATACACTGCTTTACCTAGATTACTATTAGTCTACAAAATACTGGTTTGAACACCATTAATTCCATTTATATGGAAAAAAACATTTGTTACGGATACAGCAAGTGGTGTTACCTGATCAGCTTTGGCACACAGGAAATACTAGGTGTCCTGGAAGTGAATGGTGATGCCACAGAAGCCTCAAGTTCAGACAAAGATATACCACCATGTGCCCTCTTTAGCGCCTGACAGTTAGCATCAAAAGAGAGATCATTTAAAAACATTTTCAGCTGTAAAATTTAACCAACAGTACTGTAAAATAAAGATATACTTACTCCACAATCATTCGCACCATCTCCACACATGCCCACATAATAACTATAAAAAAAAAAATAAACAAATGTCAACAATCGGGACTATTCACTAATCAGTCAGTTTATTTCACTAAATACCTTCATATTACTTAGTATATTCATGACACGAATGGAGAAAAGTGATCCCTAATAAAGAAATTAATTATTATTCCAATTATACTCATAAGGAAGCAGACAGAAAAGTAACAAAACTTATCCAGGGCATTCAACTCAATAATGGCTACCATCCCCTCTGTCATTCCAAGATCAAAACATTTTTGCTTTAGGAAGGGCAGACTATTGTTGCATTTGGTATTGCTACAGTTTTTTTTTTTTTTTTATAAAGAAAATCCTAAAAGCATCAGGATTATTAAACTTTAGAGAAAAAAAAAAAATCACACAAACAAAAAGCACACATCCCCCAAGGAAAAAAATTAACATGAATAACAATCTCAAAATTAAATTAGAGGCCCATGATCAACACATATGACGATAGATAAATTTCTAGAAATAGCCACTGTGATACTTCTTTAATAAGCAGAAGGCATTTGTTTACTAAACCAACTAACCAGATTTAGAAACATGTTAGTCAGTTTAGCGACTTACCACTTAGAGTAAACTTTCATAAATTAGATATTCACAACTGACCAGCAGGTGGTACAATTCTCCTTCCAGTTTACCAACTCAAGAAAACATTCTGTTTGGTGCAAGAGCTTATGAAATACATAGGGAGATTTTTCCCCTCACACACTGAACACCCTGTCATCCCCACCCGCCCTTTGACAATCGAGTCAATACTTACTCTACATTCTGTAAAGCCTCCACCAGCTGAGTTTTCTGATCAGGCGCCATGCGAGCAAACACAGTGCCATGCAATACAAGCTGGAAAACAAGAATTTTTTTTACTGTTCCTCTCAGGACAAAGTCTGTCCATCATCAAAAGTGCCCATACTCAAATGAACTACCCACCTTCGGTACCAGGTCCTGGAAATGCTCCAAAATCACTGCAAATGACTTTCCATTCATTGCAAAATGGTATTTGGTCATCTGGAGATCCTCAAGGCTTTCATGGACCAACTTAACTGAAATATCCTATCACCAAAAGTATTTTAATTCTCTAAATATAATATATTTAAATATAAACACTGTGTAATTTCAAAATAACATTCAAAAGGGTATTTTCTGGAGATACTGTACCAGTGTAGGCTCAAGAAAACACTTAATAAAAGAACATAATACAATGAACACATCTATTTGATAATAAGAACATATGGCTTACCATGTTTCGGTTATAAAGAAATAGGCAAGTCTTAAGACTCAAACACAGCAAAAATGGCTCGCGCAAGGCTAAAATGCTAAATATCACATCACAGACCAAAGTTCAAAAACAACTCTGAGCTATTCTATGAGTATTTAATATTCTATTGTCAGAAAGTTAATAAATTCCTTGATTTTTGATTTGCCAGGGTGTTTAATGAAATTATGTATGTGCATATATATGTGTGCTCAAGTTACCTCTGAGTTTATGGCTGGTGATGAACAAGTGCATTTTGCAACGGTATCTGCATAATGCCAGTTGATCCTGGCAGCCTGCCCATCTTTTGGAGGTAGTGCTTCAGCAATAATCACCTTATCCTGAGGTAGAATCATTCCACAGTCTCTGGCCACAGAGATAGCAGTTAACATGTTATCCCCTGTTAAACAATTGTGTTTAAAAAAGTTTCAATTAAAAAAGAACAAACAGCATGCACAGATATTCAATAGAAGCAAGATGCTAAGAGTTTTAAAGCAGGACTGCGTAACTTAAGTGATGCCTTTGGCACAGTCTACAGCAGTTAAAAGTTTAGCCCTGTAAACTCCTCCTACCACACTAGCATCACTAGAAATTGTTTGCTTCTTTCAGGCAAACACAAAGACTTCTTATGGCAAAGCCTTAATATCTATTTAAAATCAGGCAGGTCATTTAAATTGCGCTTTCTTGAAAGACATCGGCCATAGTTCATGCAGGATCAATGTTGAGCTTTATTACCAGTCAATCAAAACATTCTTCCAGTTATATCTGCGCTTAAAACACAAACACGCTGTATGGAAAACACTGAACACACTTGCAGACAAATCCAGCCTTTGTCATGGGGACATATATAGCCTCTCATACACACACACACACGGCACCCTCAGGAGGTCACACCTAATCCAACCTCCTGCTCAACACAGGGTCAGCTGAGATCAGGCCAGGTCATTATCCAGTCTGATCTTGAAAAACATCAAGGTTTTCCATCCTCCAAATCCAATACAAAATAACTTATGCATTGGGCTGGGAAGAGGTACCTACAAAGTAGAACAAACCCACCACTCACTTCTGCCGAGCCAGAGCACCTTTCACCAGAAAGAAATAGACGGATTTCCAAATGATGTCCGAAATTTTTCCCCAACATTTTCTAAGCTATAAATCAATATCTAACCTAAAAGTCATTCTATGTAAACACAATTTATAATGAAAATGCTATGCTTCTTGATACACAGTAAAAATCACAATTTACTGGCACTAAAATTGTGCATAATACTTCAATTATCTAACTCAGACTAAAAAAGACATAGATTTTATTTTTTCAATGCAAGTGTATTTACATGCTAACCTGTAACCATGACAGTGCGAATGTTGGCTTTATGTAAATCTTCAAGTACAGCAGGGGTTTCTTGCTTCAGCTTGTTTTGCATTATAATTAACCCCATAAAATCCATGTTGCTTTCAATAGCATCTCTGTTGAAAAAGCAGCAACAGAAAACTTTAGAAAAATGGCCATTCCTACAATTACTAGTTGTATCTTAGAAGAGTACAATTTTTCTGTTAATCAAAGCAGAGGAACATATTTTTAAACATGAAGAGTATGAACAATTAGCTTTTTATAAAGTGATGCTAAAAGATATCATTATCCTCATTCATTTATTCTTATTTCCTTTGTCTAAATTGAAAACACGAACCAGTATGAAAAAATGTGGTTTCCGCTCAAGTACAACTGTCTGATTTCTTCCAAAGGCTTCTTTCTACAACCTATTGCATCCCCAAAAACAAAGGTAACTCTTGGAAAAAAAAAATGCTCCAAAACTAACTGCATGGCCATTTTTTATTTTATTTCTAATGCCCATCTGGTATTCCTATACCTATTCTATAATAACTCAGACCATCTGAAAAAAAAGTAACATCATTTTTGTCTTACAAGGAAAATAAGTTCTTTCTAGCACCAGTTTTTTTTTTAAAATGAGAAAATGGCCATCCTCCCCACAGAAGATGAAGAAACTAAATTAAACATGCACAAGAGGGTTTCCATAAGACTTCCTTATCTTTAAAAGAAAGGTGATACACACATGCTGCTAAAAAACAGGTGCAATTCTGCACCATGCTAATGTAAATTCAACATCACAAACTATTATTACAGTATAGTTGAAGCTCAGGGCTGTTCCCCCAGAACTCTATTACAGAAAAACTTGCTTATTTTACATTTCTCATGTATTGTCTAAGGCACAAACAAAGAATGCACAAGACTGTACATCAAGACAGCAAAAAGATAAACAAAAGTTGTAACTGAGTTAAATCAAAGTAAACAAGACAATTAATTCAAACCATAAAGCTTTAAAGTCTGTTACTTATTAAAAAATGAAGTCACTCTTACCTATTAATAGTCTGAACTTTGTGCCATGTAAGCTTAGACTCCAATTTTCTGTGAGCAAGAGCAATAACTCGGAAGCCTTGCTTGGTGTACTCTTCCAGGACACTCTCAAAGTCAACAGGAACTTTAAAAAAAAAAAAAAAAAAAAAAAAAAAGAATCAAGTTCAGAGTTACTAAAATTTTTCATACCGTAGTTTAGCTACATGAGTAGAGGGAAAGAAAGAAAGAAGATAAGTTTTCTTCTTTACCTGTTTCCTGCTTACACAAGCTGGCAATCACCTCGGGGGCCCCTTTCATGTAAGCATCCATTCTCTTCTCCCCCAGAACTCTAGCTACTACACACATACGCTGTAAAACCGATGAAAATGGAAACTGGCGCACAATTCCAATCTCATAACTGGTCTGCATAACACAGGAGAGAAGAGGAAAAATGTTACACCTGCATAAATGCTTCAAGATGTTTATGTGGATGTTTATGTGAAAAATCATACTTACCGAAAGCTCAAATAATTCCTAGAAGAAAAATAAAACATTAATTAGAAATCTTCATTTTGAATTAATATTTTTCAATACCAAAATACTGCACTAGAAGTTGACTTTTAACACTAGAAAGACATGAACAATGGCAACTATCAAAAAACTAGCATTTTGTTACAGTCTATATGCAAGACTTCTCTCAGTCTAATTTGTTTCAGTTTAGCCTATACAAACGAGTAACTGTTTCAGAACAAAGCCAAGATTACTGCATGGCAGCACAAAACAAATCCTGTAGTTAGTTTCCAGAACATTTAGAATGTGTCATCTCCAAAATAGTTACTGTTATACATATAATCACTCCCCCCAAAACATTCTGAACAAAAAACCAAGAATCTATCCACTGCGGAGTAGCAGGACACATACAGCAAGCAACCTGCTGCACCCTCCTGCTATCTTCCTTTGTGATAATGTAGATAACACAGAACTGCAAGGTGAGCAGATACTGAAGTAGCACAGTAAGAATTTAAGAATGACACTAGCTTTAAAATGCCTAAGCTCAAAAAGCATTACCATACCTGACAAGCAAGGTAATGGTAGCAATTACAGCAATCAGTCTGGTTGCCTTGGAAGTGGCACCCACAGAAACACTACCTTCAACAAAAGTTTGATTTCTTTGTCTTAAAAAAAAAAAAAAAAAAAAAAAAAAAAAAACACACTCCCACAAATCAGTTCTGCTCCTATCTGAATTATACAGGCCAGGGTCTTGGCATATGGTTAAAATTATATATATTTGTTAAACTCAGATTTGTTTAATTCAAAGAATTGCTTTGAATTTTTATACCATTTCTTGATCTGTTGCCTGCTTGGATTCCGGCAAAGGCTGTTTTGAAGGGCGAACCACTGTTGGCATTATTCGATTATGAAGCGCTGTTTCTTCCTCGGTTGCTTCTTCTAAAATCTGTATTAAAAATATATATATCATATATAAAAGCAACTAAAATAATACATTCATTAGCTAAGATTTCCTCATAACGTGACTGTCAAAAAACAGCCCTGGAAGTCAGCCCAAAATGTAATGATCTTCCTAAACATGATTTTAGCAGTTACCGTAAGATATGCTTAGCAATTTTAAATTTGTATTACATACTTTGCCACACATATGTCAACATCAGAAAGCAGTAAATTCAATGTTCATATTCTGTTTTACAAATCGTTGCATCAAATATTTTAGAAAGTCCTTCATATCAAGGCTTCATTTTTACAGTGGCTCATAAGTACTGACACAATTCTACCATTTTAAAGCTACAACTTGAATTATCATTTAAGGGGTGTATCCTGTGCATGACAGTGTGAGAAATTTCATATTACTGAAATTAAAATGCTGCTTTTCTTGAAACAGCAAACACTTACCCATCCTATTGCTTCAAACATCTTCAAATCAAGTGGGTCCCCAGAAAGTACCCCTTCAATTTTTGTAAGGGAATGACAAGTTGCCATGCAAGCAACAAACTCAGACTTCAGCAAGCTCTCACTGCAAGCCCTCTCTTCCGGCAAAAGGAAACTAAAACAATGAAGTTATAATATACTTAGCGCTATAATTATTTATTATGAGCCAATTCAAACGGTTTGTTTAGATTAACAGAAGAAAATTGACTGCACGAGTCTCTTAACATGTATTTTCACACATCACAGAACAGATTAAGACTCTGGGCTGGAATCTTCAGAAATACAGTCACAGCTTCTTTTGGCTCCTTCACAAGTTCTGGGGTAATTCACTTGTCATTTATATTTCCTTGAACAGAGGCCTCTTACCACTTTGTATGTGACAATTAGCTAAGCCATTTCATTTTAGCCACCCAGAGAGTCATCATGTTAGACAGCAAAATTAAGTAAACATGCCAAATTTAAGTTCATTTCTGCATTATGAACTTAATGCGGTCTAAGACTTTGTGAACTAGATTTTAACTGGTTAGACTGCTAAAAGAGTTACTAGCCATTACTTCTAAACCATCTTTTCATTTGCATTCTTAAAGCCAATTACGAATGCAAACACTTGAGCTCGCAACGACTCTTCTATTCAGCAGAAGCTGTTAAAGCATAACCAAGTCTCATATTTGCTATTAATACTCATTTATCCTTACCGAGCACTTTCCACCCTTTGAATTCCCCAAAGATCCAAGCCATCCTCAGTAAGTGTGCCAGTCTGGAAAACACATCAAGGGGAGTTGTAAGAGAAAAAGCTTTCAGAATCAAGTTATCCTCACGTAAAGCAAAAATTAACAGTTAATAATGCAAATTAGAGCTGAAAAATGCATTATTTTCCCCCCAAAATAAATTAACTTTTTCTAACAGAAAAGTCAAATATCTCCTTGGCTTTTTATTAATAAAAAGGTTCCAGCTTCATTAAATACATAAAAAAGTTCTCGTTTGGAGACAGGACAAGGGAGATGGACCCTTATGTCCAAAGATGAGAGCTTACCCCCCTCTATACTTTGAGGGCAGGTGTGCTTAGGAGCACATGAAATCTATTAAAGTGCTTTACATTACATTTTGAAACAGAAAAAGGACAAATACCCATGCTGCAAAGTCAAAATGGACACAATGGACACTAGTGTGAACACTTGAAATCTGAGATGAGATTCTCAGATGGAAAGGAAATTTCACTCAAGAATTAGCTGAAAGAAAATGATTTTGGCTAGTGGTATTAATGTTTTTTATTATTTCTTAGCCAAAACAAGACTGATGTAAACATGTTCCGCTCTACATTTGAAATAAATGAAAACAAGAAACAAATCTGACCTCAGACTTAAACATGAAATTTTTTAGAAGTCTCTGTGCAAAACAAAGCTTTTGCAGTCCCCTGCTTCTTTGGGGTGCCACTAATACATTAAGACTTGTAGACATAAAATAAGACAGGAGCTTCATATTTCAAAAAAACTTTAGAATATTCTCTAAATTAAGTGAATTAACTGATGGCAGACACTGAAGACCTGAAACAGACAAAACTGATACAACATTCTAAGGTAATGTATTTCACTGTAGTTGCTACTTTTTGGATTTCTTTTTACTGCACACTTCACCTTCCAGGTACCAAACTTCAAAATTCAACCAACCTTGTCAAAGCACACAAGATTTAATTGGCCACAAATATTAATCCTCTGTGGGCTGATGCAGAAGATGCCAATTTTTTTCAAACGTTTCTGTGCATAAACGATGCCAGCAGTCATGGCAGCAGGGAGTGCTGGAGGCACTGTGATAGTGATAATGTCAAGAGACTCGATGATGATGGTAGGAACTGGAACCTGCAAAAAAAAGATCAAAGGTAATGAACAAGAATTTGCTACCTGAAAAATTCACTGTCTCGCTGAAGTACTATATCACAGTTAAAAGGTAAAAACACATACATCCCTTTCCTCAGCATAGCAGGTTCTGCAGTGTTCAGAATCTAACCACAATCTTTTTCTTTTTTTTTTTACTCTTCCCCCTGCAAATACATTACGTAAGTAACGACTAAATAATATACAGTTCCCCAGAGAGGAAAGGATTATATAGTTGTCAAGTAGTTTTTTGATATCTGTATTTTTATTTATTTATTTATTTATTTTACCCTCATCATGGTTTACATTTTCCATATTCCATTTCCTCTAACTGGGCATCAGTCACATAGTAGTCTTACACAAAATAAAAATAAAATCTTGAAATTGGTCAATGGAAATTGAGGCACTAAAT